GAGACACCACATTAGTGATTTGGGAGAGGGTCATTCATCTACATTTTTTCAGTTCTGTTTTCTAGGAATAATAATCATTTTATTATTTCGCACACATATACACAACACTTTTCTGGACACTCCACTCAAATACCTTTCCAGGAAATATGGACTCCCCTCCACTACCACCACCAATGTGTAGCCCCACCTGGATGACAACGGCAGCCATAGTGCGCCAGTACGCTCACCACACACCAGCTATCAGAGAGGGGGAGAGCAGAGTGATGAAGCCAATTCATAGACACAGATTTTAGGAAACCGTGATTGGTAAAGGGCAGGGGGGGAATTTGGCTGGGGCACCAGGGTACCTAGGACACCTGCTGTTTTTGAGAAATGCCCTGGAATTTTTAAATGACTCTCATGGAGAGTCATGACCTCATTTTTACATCTCACCTGAAGGATGGTGCCTTTTTTACTGTATAGTCTCTCTATCACTATACTAGGGCATTAGGACCCACACAGACCACAGGGTGAGTGCTCCCTACTGGTCCCAGTAACACCTCTTCCAGTAGCAATCTTAGCTTTCCCAGGAAATAATAAAATGATTATTATTCCTAGAAAACAGAACTGAAAAAATGTAGAGGAATGACCCTCTCCCAAATCACTAGTTAATGGCATTACTGATAAACCGACAACTGGCATAGCTTTTCTTATTAAAGGTCTTAATATGTCATCTATTTATTGCAAATGGCTTAAGTAGGATTGCTCAGCAGAAAATAACTTAAAATAGAAGGGATAGAACTAAGTGGTGTTTTTTAACAGAAGTCTGGGATGAAGTTGTATTCTAAAGTTGCACTTATGATCATGTACTTCTAATAACTGCCTGATTGCCCACAACTGCACACATCTTTTTTGTGGCACTTTTCTAATATCTTATATTCACCTTTACAAAAACTCTCACCTTTATCCTGTTTCCTTTTCACAAACCAGTGCCAGAGTCACTTTCTCAGCTGAAGGATGGTGCCTTTTTTACTGTGTAGTCTCTTTATCACTATACTAGGGCATTAGGACCCACACAGACCACAGGGTGAGTGCTGCCTACTGGTCCCAGTAACAATCTCATTCTTCCCAGGAGGTCTCCCACCCATCTTCATCCAGGAAGACCCCACTGGTGCTCACTCTGGCCAGACGAGCTCAGACTTCTCATTCTTTCCACACTAAGTGCTCGTTCTCCTCAGCGACACATTGCTGCCAACCTCACTTGCTGTTCAAAATCTGTCAGTGTTTTGGGGATCGTTCCGATGAGGCTCACACCTGCTCAGCCTCAATGGGTTGAATCCTGACAAAGGGATTATCTTGTACAATACAGTATGTGTATATACACAATCTTTCAAACATTCGTAGGATGTGCATCAAATAGTATGGATCTGGCTCTATGCTTGTTAATGTTATCTTTTTCATTATAGCTCAAGCAGAAGGCAGAACCAGAAAACCCCATATTCCTGCCCAGCGACTCTGTCAGCTGGCTCTTGGCGAAGACCTATGTGCGCAGTGCTGACTTTAACTATTTCGAGTTGGTTACTAACTTACTGCGAACCCACATGTTGGCAGAGGTATTCTGTGTTGCCACCCTCAGGCAGTTACCCTCAGTGCACCCTTTGTTCAAGGTACTGTTACTGTGTATTTTTGACAAAAGATGTCATAATCATTTTGTATTTATTTGTGTAAGTGACTTTCTTCTTGGTCTAAGCAGGTAGCCTAAGAAAGTGTTTTCTAAGGTTTTAACTGTTTTTGTTCACCTTTGAGTCAGCATATTTATGTTCAAATACAATATATGCACCATAAGATCCATCAGTAGTCACAATCTTAAAACAGGGGAACGAATTTCTGCCTCCCAGCTCTAGCCAGGATGCAAACAGAATCTTTCTTCCTTACCAGAATCTTCTAGGCTGCATAATCATATAGAGACATGGCTCATTCCATGAAAGACCTGTCCTAACCTTTTTTTCTCCATTCCAATTCCAGTCCACCCAAGTACTAACACTTACTTGGCCTAGTTGTCTCTAAATCTTCATTTCCAACTAACAGGTGGCCATCTTGTTTAAAATCTACACTGTTGGGTTTTTGAGCCAAAATGGAGACTCCCCCAGGGAGGTCCCCTCTACTGCAGAATTTCTAATTTATTTAAACCTATGGAATGTGTAAATGCACAATAATAATTGACTACTTGTTAATATTACATTTGCTATGATGAGACAGATTTGATTTGTAAGTGTTTTAAGTGAACCATACAATAATTACTACAATACAAGGGACAGCCTTTAAATATTTATTTTCAGCATTTTACTTTTTGTTTTTTTAATTTGCAACATGCCTCCTCTTAAACTGCAGTTTGCTATCATGCCATAGTCACTAAATGTCAATTTAAACATCCTTATTACCCTCTTAGAACAGTTTTAATATTTGAACTGGGGAATAGAATCAGCAAAGGGAAAGACTTAAGGGGCATAAAACAGAAAATCTACTCGATAGACCAAATATTGTTATTCTGCATCAAGTGTTGTAGAAATCAAACAGGCTAGCTTACCATTCACTTCAATAAAGAAACATCCTGAATCTCATGACAATTGTCTTGAGCCAATAAAGAATGCACCATTGGCATGTTTATTGTCTTTGTTTTCCTATGTAGATAATGTATTTATTTTTTGTGTCAATATGAAGCTCCTGATTCCTCACATGAGATACACCCTTCACATCAATATTATGGCAAGAAATGTTTTGGTGTCAGGAGGTGGACTTTTTGACAAGGTAAGTCTCTATTGCTGCATAACCATTGCACCTGCAATCCTATGAATTTCTTATAGTCCTATTCCCTATTTAACATTTTTATAACACAAAATATAAAGCAAAAGACTCATTTAAAATGGTGGAACAATCAGACCAGTTCATTACTAAAATTGAAGAAGTTTAGGTGGCTGAATGCTCTCGAGTCTAAAATGGAAATGTTATTCCAGCTTTATGTAGCCCCTTTGGTATAAGGGATGCACTCTCAGCTTTCCTTTGTGATTTAAGTTTTTTCAATAATCCTTTCAAGAGGCACCTTTAATAATTCATAAAACTGTTTAGAGAAGCATATTAATTTTTAAAAACATGTAACAATACTACAGTAAACATTTTTATTTAAAACGCTTACCCCTAACCACAAAGTAAGTTGCAGTATTTGTGTTCTTCAATAGTGACTTTCACCTGCTTAACTAAATTAAATTGAAGTAATAAAGTGCCTAATGCCAATTACAGATCTTTTAGATTACTATGAGAAATACATCTGTATTTGTTTTACAGCAATTTCTATTTTGCCTTTTAAAAATTTCCCAGGAGCCAAAACAACAGTTTTCCATAACTGCTAAATCCATGGCTGGAATTCAGTATAAATTGTTTGGATGAAAGTTAGACTAAAATCCCTTGTTTTCATTCTCAACTAGGCCTCCAGCACTGGAGGACTGGGGAAGTTTGAAGTGATGCAGAGAGGTTTTACTTCCCTGACTTACAGCTCCTTCTGTCTGCCGGAGGACATTGCCGCTTGTGGGGTTGAACGAATACCCAACTACCACTACCGCGATGATGGCCTTAAACTGTGGGCTGCGATCAACAGGTGGGGCTGCCAGGCATTGTGTGAGCAGAGATGTAGAAAGACAACTGTAGTCATCATTAATTGGACTCTTTCTCTAAGGGAGACATGTTCCAACCTGCTTTCATACATAACGCTTTTCTGGACACTCCACTCAAAGCGCTTTACAGGTAATGGGGACTCCCCTCCACCACCACCAATGTGCAGCCCCACCTGGGTGATGCGACGGCAGCCATAGTGCGCCAGAACACTCACCACACATCAGCTATCAGTGGGGAGGAGAGCAGAGTAATGAAGCCAGTTCATAGAGGGGGATTATTAGGAAGCCATGATTGGTAAGGGCCAATGGGAAATTTGGCCAGGACACTGACACATGATGAGAAATGCAATGTACTGCATTTAAAGTACAGAGCTATTAGAGTGTATATACACACAGAAAACCCACATGTATCTTGTTCTTGCAGAAGCTTAATCCAACAATGACTGCATTAGTTTGATCAAACATTAGGAGCAGTCAAGATGAATGAATTCCTAGGGCCCGACAGCTTACCAGGTGTACTCAAGGAATTGAGAGAAGTTATTCAAAAGCGATTTATGTAATTAGTCCAACAATGACAGTGGTGGTACCCTTGAAAATCACTAATCTAGTGCTTATCAATATGAAGGGTGAACAAAGTTACCTAAGTAATCACAGACCAATATCTCTAATGACTTATATTACATGTATGGTTATGAAAAGGTTTGTAAGACAAGTTAGAGAATCAATACATGGAAATATCTGAGGGATAATACTCAATATGGATTTAGGGATGCCTACCCAACTGTTTTTATGACCAAGCAAGAACAGTAGTTAGCATAGAACACAGATGCAAGCATTTAAAACACACAATGTGTCAGACAACATACAGCAGCAAGTGCCATAGTATGGAGAACAATCATGTTTTGCTGCTTTAATTTAAATAACCTGATGCAGAGCTACACTATTCTGTAAGACCATCAGGTGGCACAATGAATCCTTACTATACCACAGCTGAGTGTGGCTGTCACACATCTTAATTTAATAATAAAAAATAAAAGTTTATTAATCCATAAATTTTTCTGCACTGATCATACAGTAGTGAGAATTTCATTGAAAACAATGATTACACAACTCCAAATACAATATTGTATGTCAATACTGTATAACACTTAATTATATACAGAATTAATGGAAATTGTGTATAAATTAGAATTTTTTTAGATTGACTAAAATGTATAATGCATTTATATGTACTATATATATATATTATACATTTAAATTGTATTTTAAACAAATCCATAAAAATGAAAAAAGTCAGTAGTGATTTAAATGACTCAAAGTTTGATTTGAAGGCACTTAAATTCACTACACAGCAAATAAACATTATATATTAATGCCAATAATTAAAATGACTGATGTTTTAATTGCTTGCAAGGGAAACCAAAGTATTTTGAGATAAAGCAATATGAAAAAACACTGAATAAATACACCAAATTAGTGAGAAACACTATAAAAACAATTATAAATCAAAGATTTTTTACAAGTACTTATTTAGCTTACATTTGTATCTTGTTAGTTGATTGGTGTAGTGGATTTAATATAGTACAACAGATTGAAGCTGCCATTTAACTAACATCAGATATGGGTTTTGACACTCATTCAGATTGAGTGAATCTGTATATGGTATATTTAGATTCTCAGACCTGTGATAAATTTCCTTATAAAAGATTAATTCTCAGATTGTAGTGCTTTTAATTTGAAAACTGGTTACTAAATACAAAATATAATACTGTTAAGGGCTGAATGTTCAAATTGGGGTGATTTATTTAGTGAAGTACCACAAGGATCTGCATTACTTCTCCTAATTTATATCAATTATCTGATATACATAGTAAACTTGACATCTTTTTAAATTATTCCAAATTAGGAGAATTAGTGAACATTAAGTAATTTTCTAAGATTCAGAAAGACTATTATGACTGGACAAACCCAACAGACATTTAATGTAAACAAGCACAGGATTTTGAATAAAACGTTCCAAGCTACAGTACATGAGGTTATGTAGGAGTTAGGAACTTTATGTTGATGCATCATTTACAGTACATCTACTGGAAAAGGGAGGAAAATTAGAAGGGCAAACAAATTATAGCATATAAACAAGGATACATAATGTAGAATTCATATCAATGGATGTTGTAGTAAAATTGTATAAAACACTAGTACAGCATTATTTACAATGTGTAAAACCTTGGCCAACATGTTAAATAATAATAAAAAAAGATATTACTGCCCTAGATTCGGTGCAGAGAAGAAATACCAGATACATTCTGGGTTAAATATTGTACAAAACTATGTGGATAAGTATGATTTGTTCTGTATTCACATTTTAAGATCTTTACACAGCGGTTTGTAGGACTTTATAGACTTATGTAACAGTTCCCTGGGTTTCTTTAAGAACCGGCCTGACAGGATCTTTAGATCACCAAACAGACCGGATGGGCTGAGTGGATCCTCTCCTTTGTAACTATTCGTACAGTAGGTCTTCAAAACATGTGAAAACATTTTTAAACTCAGTGCTTTAAAAATAAAAAATAAAAAACTTAAACTCACATTGTTGCAAAAAAAAGTTCTGTGCTTCCTTGTCAGGTTTGTGGAGGGCATACTGAAACATTACTACCTGGAAGACAAGGATGTCCTGGAGGACACCGAGCTGCAGGCCTGAATAAAGGATATCTTCACCAATGGGTTCCTGGGAAGGGAACAGTTAGGTAGGTAACAATACAAAAGTATGCTATCCCTGACTTTTTAACCTTGGGGAATTAAAAGACATAAGGGAACATTCAAATTTAAATAAACTTTGAACAGGATATTGTATGCATGGCTTTATATTTTACAGTATAATTTAGAAGACTTTGTGCCTATACGCTAATTAGGGGCTGGAGTTATTCCTGTCCCCTGTTGCTCCTAATTTAACTCCAAACCTCACCGACTTCAATTTTTATCGTCCATGGCTCAGTTTCCTACAGTAACTTATCTTTAGGTAATAGGAACTGTGTCTTATTTTCAATGGGAAAAATTGGTTTAGTAGTTTGGTAAAAATTAACAGACTGATGCAATTAAAGTAAAACATGAAATGAAAATGTGATAGAGTGATAGAGTATGACAATCTGTTGTACTGGACACAGACGGATGTTACTTATAGCAAATTGCATACCCTGCAACTTGCCGTTGAAAAATTGCATGACAATAGAACCACATTAAAAATCATAAAAACACAAAACTAAAGGCTAAAATGTAACTTGAAAACTTGGAACACTGGGGAGATATAATTTCCAGTTTGACAGAAGCATCAGAGATGGGGGCCCTACAGATCATACTTGGATACACTGTATACACTATTAAAAGCTCCAAACCCCAGTTTTACTATTTTGTTTAATTGTTCATATGAATTATACAGCTTTTTGATTAATATCTGAATGTACCAATTAAAACAAGATGCTGTCAAATGTTGAGGGAGCCCCCTGGTGGCCTCGGGGACCCAGGCATAGTCCCCAGTCCTGCTCCAACATGGAATAAACCACAGTGATTCAATTCAGGCTTTATTGTCCCCTAGAGGAAATTTGTGATCCCTACAGCTCAGCCACTGGAAAAAAGCATATTGACCTCAGACCGCCAATTTGCACAAAAACAAAATCAAAACAAGAATTAGTTCAATTGTCTGACCTTGTATTTGCAGTTGATGGCACCTGGAAATGTAAAGATCACTATAATTTGCACATTTCAGTTTTTCTATTGTACATTACCAGTGAAATAGCAAATGACAGATATTATAATCATCTGGAGTCTGTAAATATATTGACACAGAGCATCACAATTTTTAGAAGCAGGAATTATCAGCGATATTTCTAGTTATGCACACAATTCTACTGCTCTCCAAAGGCTTATTTCCAAATTTAGTTAATTTGACAAGCATTGTATAGTCACCACAGCAAGTAATATCAGTCCACAAATCCTACAATAAAACTGAGGAATTAATACATGCACACTGAAGATGCACAATAAATGCTCTTTTTGAAATAGAACAGATTATTTTTTAAAAACCTTGCTGCACACATCCACCCAGATAAAATACAATGCATTTCATTCACAACCACCCAGATTTCTCCAGTCAGAATATATGACCCACAACAATTGTGCACTTTCAATTCAAAATGCTTTCTTCATCCCCAGGGGAGCACTTTGAGAAAATAAAAAACTGAGTCAGTTGTAGGGGTAGAGTTCAGTAATCTGACAGCCTGAGGAAAGAAACTGTCTGAATCTGAAAATTCATGCCTTTTTCATATAATCCTTATCACATAGAAGAGGAGAGAAAAAGTGAGAAACCAGGATTGCAGCATTATTTGGAATGCTATCAAATGTGTCAGAAGCTACATATATCTGTTAATCTACATACTCGTTACTGCAAGTCATGGTAATTAAATCACGAAGATGACTAAGGTACTGCAATTAGATGGTTTATCAATCCGTTATGTGACTGCATTATATGAATCTCTGATGCCAACATACAGGCCAGAAAAATCAGTCGAGAAAAACAGTGTCTGTTGTGTTAGAGGCACTTGCCTTGGACAGGTGGACAAGGCAGAGCACATCTCCCTGTGTTATAAAGAGGTTGTAACCACAAAACACTTGATATTTCCACAGACATATCAGCACTGTTAGTAGTAGTGTACTTGTGTTATATTAAAGCAAAGTCAATGTGGTAATACAGAATATAATATTTCTTTCAGGTATTCCAGAAAGCTTCCCCACTGTTCAGAAGCTGAAAAAGTTTCTCACCATGGTTATATTCACCTGCTCAGTGCAACACAGTGCAGTCAACAGTGGACAGGTGAGATCGGCTTGACTAACCAGAAAGTAACTTTTTTTTAACATCCTTTTTTCTTCTGGTTAAATCCTACCTGGTTATCTTAACCCTGGATTATGCCAACTAAGGTCAGGCCTGTTACATACTGTACTCTGCTAAAAGGGGTCATCAAGGTAAAAAGTCACCATAGGACAGAAGAACTATACTTTATGTATAGTGAAAAGAGAAATGTAAAACACCAAGCTAAACAAAAGCCTAGGCTCCATTTTGAGCCCCTCACGAGACTTCAGTCCAATACTGAACAATAACTGTGTAGCAAGTTGCTTAGCAGCCCCCTCAAAGCTTATGTTTTTTAACACTTACAAATGCCCTCTTCTTACTCTCAATCAGTTGTCTCCTTACTGCTGCTGCTGCTGCCGGTTTGCATGCCAGAGAACCTGCTCTCGATTTCCAGATGTGGGCTGACATGAAAAGCCTTTGTTTTCCATCTTGTATCATCTTGCATCAGCTGGTTAAGTGACTGGTGGATCCAGCTGCTGTTGATGTTAAAGCACAGGAGTTAAAGACTCCAAACACTGTGCAATTCAGGATACAACTAAACACACTTTCCCTCCCTGAACTACAGGAACTTAGACACAGCTCTCTGCAACTGATTGCTCTTATAATGGCTGCTGCTGCTCCTGAGGAATGTTCCAATTTAGCACAGGACCAATCAAATGATCCCTTTTCTGCCTGTGGAATGGAATTCCACAGGAGTCCAATCAGTCAATCAATGTAAGTGTGTCCTATTTCCTGAAGAGAAGGAAGAGGCTTTATCAAAGCCTCAGCTCTTGCTCCAATACAGGCACAGTCATGTACAGCAAAGAGACTGTCACTATATTAAGGCATTACCTAGGACATTCAGGTTCAGAGAGAAGAGCACCACATGCTGGTCCACCAGTACCACTCACCTCTGTACTGAGACAACAGGTTGGCTGTTCAGTTTGGCTCAGTGTGCTTTGAAGAATGTCTGTTTTTGTGCCACCTCCAGTTTGATTCATGTACATTCTTCAAAAGATTTGTGACGGGAAAACAGAATAAAAATGCAGAGGTCATCTGTATTTATTGTAAGTTCCTTACATTCTACTGCATCATCAATTTCCCTACGGGATTAATAAAGTATTATCTATCTATAGCCGATAGGTTCTGACTCGTGCATGGTTGATTCCTTTTACACACACCTGATCTATATGTACTTGTGTAAACTGGTTCATGTTCATGTTCTCACTTGTATTCATGGATGCTCATGAATTTTTGATGTCATACAGTTTTTGTTCTCAGATCTTACTGAGCTTGACTACTTGGAAATTGTCGAATGCTTCTTCCAATTCAGGGTGGCAGAGGAGCTGGAGCCTATCACAGCAAGCAACTGGCACAAGGCGGGGACAGTCCATCACAGGGCATACACACACAAGTGCAGAGGTGTACACACTCACACACACCAGACACATGTAAGGACACTTTGCAATAATCGTGCAGTTGTTTTCTCTCAAAGTTTGACTATTGTTCCTGGATGCCTAATGTCCCCTTCACAATGGCCCGACCTCCACCCTCCATGAAGCAGGACCTCCTCTTTTCTGAGATCATCCGCAGCGTAGCCGATAGCAGGAGCACCTTGACCACTCTGGCCATCACTAGGATGCTCAGCCACACTTACCTTGAAAAAGTGAGTTTCACCCTCCTGCACAGTAACATGCTCTGTTTACACATTTCAAAGTTGACTGGAATATGCATTTTTGCTGTGTTTATAAAGCTTAAATCCATAAGATTATAGGATTTGTTTATTAATTCAATTTATATAGTATATATCATTATTTATTTACTTTGTATTTTTCATCACCATGCAGCTCTGTGGTTTAGGGTATTTCAGAAATATGCTTATATTCGGCGCCCTGGTGAAGCAGTTAATTGTGTGCACACTCTAGAAAAGCTAACTCTATTTCCAGCTCAGTCATTTTCGGGAAATTTATGCAGCTATAAGGCACATACATTAGAATAAATGAGGTATTTGACTTGAAATGGCAATCTTCTTTTTCTAGTCAGTTTTTCATTAAAACACTAGAGAAGGACATACAGTACCAAGAGGCACGAAATGGGATTTTACTGATGCGGAGCCAAAAGTATCTTCCCTTTGAGCAACACAGACAAAAGCATGGCAAGCATATGGGGACTTTTGGAGTATGAGTATGTCTGAACAACAGTAAATGTGATGTTTGAATGGTGTATCAAAAGCCATATACTGTATGTATGTATAACATCTAGACATACAGTCAGACATACAGTTTCTCAAAGCTATAGACACCAGATACTGGAAATTTCTCTTTTTCTCTCTGTCTATGACATACTGTATGATTCATGACAGCATTCATTAGTGCATCCTGCATAATATCTGAATAGCAACATCAATTGCATTTGTTCAAGCTGAAAAATTAGTTTTTAAATTTGCTAACATCATCTTTCAAAAATTACTTTGCGATACAACTGGAGCCCCAATTGGTTTGTTTGCTGCCAAAGATGAAGTGGCAACATACTGTAGTTGTTACACTTATTAACACATTCATGATCTACCTGTCTCTGCGAAACGTACTGTAGGTATTGTGGCAATATCTACATTCCTCCTTTGAAGCAAATCTAGATATTTAAAAGTTATAATGAGAGTATTTACAGTGTATACGTTCAGAACATTAAAAAAATAAAATCAAAGGGGAATTAATGTCTTGAATGAGCAAAGAATATATAGACATGGAATATCATGAATTGAATTTAAAATTAACATTTAATTGTCTCATTTAATTTGTTTTCAAACCTTACAAAATATTTTATGATTATTTGAGCTATAAATGAGCTAAATTAGCATGTTTTGCCCAAATGCAACTTTTTATTTAGATTTTTTTTTAAAATATGCACTTAACATATTCGAACCATCTCCTTCTCTCGCCCTGCCCCCTGGTACAATGACCATCTGCGATTCATGAAGGCAGCCTCTTGCAAACTTGAGCATAGGTGGCGTCTTCCTGGCCTAAATGTACATTATCAGGCTTGGAGAGATTACTTATATGAATATAAGGTTACTATAGAGTCTGCTAGATCCACCTACTTCTCTCACATCATTGAAAATCACCAAAACAACCCCAGACATCTTTTCTCCACCATCAACAGACTGCTCAAGCCAAACTGCCCCACCACATTACCTGCCTCATCACAACTTTGCAACACATTCTTAGATTTCTTTAGTTCTAAGATTGACACCATCCGGCATCACATTCTCTCCACTACGCATATCATTTCCATACCTCCTCCCTCCTCATCCTACTTCTCTGGTTCCCTTCTCTCCAGCTTCTGTCTTCTTGACTCAGCATCCCTCAATAAACTAGTTACACGCATGAAACCCACCACATCTATTTTAGATCCCATTCCCACCACGTTATTTCTGTCCTGTTTCTCTTCTCTCTGTCCCATTGTCCTCAATATTATACATGAATCCATGAGCACTGGCATTGTACCAATGGTCCTCAAAACTGCTGCCATTACCTCCGTGCCAAAAAAGCCTAACATGGCTCTCGACAGCCTTAACAATTTTCACCCCATCTCCAACTTACCCTTTCTTGCAAAAATTCTAAAACATAACCACTTCAGTTACATAACCACCTCATGACAAACAACCTTCTCGAACCCTTCCAATCTGGCTTCCGTCAACTTCACAGCACAGAAACTGCCCTGGTCAAAGTCACCAACGATCTTCTAATAGCTTCTGATTCTGGTTCTCTTTCTATACTCATCCTTCTTGATCTCAGTGCTGCTTTTGACACTGTTGACCATAACATCTTACTTCCTCATCTTGAGACTGTGTTTGGAGTTTCTGACACTGCTCTCAAATAGTTCAAATCTTACCTCACTGATCGCTGTCACTTTGTCTCTCTTAATGGGTACAGGTCTGAAATTCGCATTGTTAAGTCTGGTGTTCCTCAGGGCTCAATACTGGGCCCCTTGCTCTTCAGCATTTACATGTTCCCACTTGGTCAGCTTTTAAGATCACATGGCCTCAGCTTTCATTTCTACACTGACGATACTCAAATATACATCCATACCAAACCTGACACTGATGTTGCTGTCTCTATTCTAATTGCATCTCTGACTTAAAAATTTGGATGACTCAAAACTTCACATGGGGGAGGGAGAACAATCAAGAGTCAGCAGTGTGGAACATAAAAAAAAAAGGCACACAGACCACACACTGGGACTTAACATACTATCTGTAGATGGTTCTGTACTTGAGCTTCAATCAAAATTGAAAAACCTTGGGGTTATATTTGATTCTGGCTTAACATTCGACCCACATCTGCAGCATACTGTCAAAACATATTTTTTTCACCTCCGAAATATCGCTAGACTCCGCCCTATGCTATCATTAACTGTGGCTGAAAAGCTGATTAACACATTTGTATTCTCTCAAATTGACTACTGTAATGCTCTACTCGCTGGGGTATCTAAATCTACTCTGAACAAGTTGCAGTATGTCCACAATTCAGCAGCCAGAATCCTGACCAGGTCTAGTGCAAGTGTTCACATTACTCCTATCCTGGAGTCCTTGCACTGGCTTCCGGTCAAATTCCGTGTGGACTTTAAAATCCTCATGCTCAC